CCATCCATCCATCCATCCATCCATCCATCAATCCATACATACATACATACATACATACATACATACATACATGCATGCATGCATGCATGCATGCAAACATACGTACGCATATACATACATGCACGCATGCAAACATTACATACATACATGAACACAACTATGTATACACATTTACATACACGCATACATACATATATGCATACGTACATAACTACGTACATACAAACATACACACATACACACATGCATACATGCATCTACAGCCGCACAACACATACGCCAATCCATCAATTCATACATACAAGCGTATCCACATTCATACATACACACATACATGCATCCATCTGTCCGCGCAAACATGCACACAGACGTACATCCATACATACATACACAAGTGCCCGCATACACATATACTGGTATAGCGACACATGTGCATACATACATACACACACGCATGCGTGCATACATACATACATCAATACCTGCGCACACATACATGTCGGCGGTGCCCCTCAGCACGAACCCCCCCCCGCCTTCCCGTGGGGGTTCGTGCAGGGCGCACCGGGTGCCGCCGACGACCTGGAACCCCCCTTTTCCCTCGTTCCCGAGGGGTTTTGTACCGGGCGCACCGGCGCACCCCCCCCCCCTCCGGTAGTGGGGCGGGGGGCTCCTGTGAGAATAGGGGGGGCTCTTGTGGGGGCGGGGGGGGGCTGCGTGGGAGCGAAGGGGGCGGGTCTTCGGGGCGCGGGCGCGGCGTGGGAGGGAGGACGAAATGGATGAATGGTGGCGCGGATGGATGGACGGATCGATGGACGGACATGAAATAGATGGTCCAGGGTCTGGCCCTCCCCTCACGCCGATGCCATCGGCCCCACCCCCATGGGGACGCCCCCCCCAAATGGGACCCCCCCCCCTCTGCACCCCCCTGTGGGCGTGGGGTGGCGGCGGCGGCGGTCGTCCTCGTGGTCGTCGTCGTCGTCGTCGTCGGCGTCGGCGTCGTCGTCGCGGTGAGGAGTGCGATAGAGTGGGGATGAGTCGGGAAGAGTACCGAGCAGGGCCGAGGAGGGCGATGGAGTGGGGAGGAGTCTGGGGCAACTGGGAGGAGAGCCGCGGAGTGCGATGGAGTGGGGAGGAGCTCGGAGGAGCGGGGGGAAGTGCTGAGGATTGCGATGGAGTGGGGAGGAGGCGGGAAGAGTGCCAAGGAGGGCCGAAGACTGCGATGGAGTGGGGAAGAGTCGGGAGGAGCGGTGAGGATTGCCGAGGAGTGCGACGGAGTGAGGAGGAGTTGGAGGAGGGGTTGGGAAGCCCCAGGGAGACCTCCGGGGGATTGAGGAAAACCACCCCCGTACTTCCGGGAAGCTCCGAGACCCTCCCCGAGGCCCCGGCCGCAGCTTCTTCCTTGGCTCATCATCATCATCATCATCATCATCATCATCATCATCATCATCATCATCATCATCATCATCATCATCATCATCATCATCATCATCATCATCATCATCATCATCATCATTATCATCATCAGCATCATCATCATCATCCTCATCCTCATCATCATCATCAGCATCACCATCATCACCATCACCATCACCATCATCATCACCATCATCATCATCATCATGTTCATAATCATGATGATCGTCATCACCACCATTACCATCACCATCATCATCGACATGTCCACTATCAGATACTCAGATAACGCCACAGCCTCAGCCTCCGACACAGCACCCAATATTCAAGAGGCTTCCTCCCCAAGAACAATTTGAACATATCCTTCTACAAAATAGCCTCCGTCTCCAACACAACGCCTGGGTACTCAACAGCATCCGTCACCAACACCACACCCCGTACTCAACAGGCTCCCTGCCCGAGAAGAATTTGACAATATCCTTCTACTCAACAACATCCGTCTCCAACAACACACCCAGATACTCAACAGCCTCCGTCTCCAAAACCGCACCCAGATACTCACCAACCTCCGTCTCCAACACAATACCCAGATAACCAACAGCCTGCGCCTCCAAAACCATACCCAATACTCAACAAGCTTCCTCCCCAAGCTGAACTCGAAAATATTATTCTACTCAACAGCCACCGTCTCCAATGTAAAACCAGGTTACTCAATAGCCTCCGTCTCCAACACAACATCCACATACTCCACAGCCTCTGGATCCACCACCACACCCAATGCTCAACAGAATCCCTCCCCAAGATAACCTTGAACATATCATTCTACTAAACAGACTCCGTCTCCAACGAATCATCCAGACACTCCACAGCTTCCGTCTCCAGCACCACACCCCATACTCAGCAGGCTCCCTGCCCGAGAAGAACTTGACAATATCCTTCTACTCAACAGCATCCGTCTCCAACAACACACCCAGACACTCAACAGCCTCCGTCTCCAAACGCCGCACCCAGATACTAACCAACCTCCGTCTCCAACACAGCACCCAGATAGCCAAGAGCCTGCGTCTCCAAAACCATACCCAATACTCAACAAGCTTCCTCCCCAAGCTGAACTCAAAAATATCATTCTACTCGCCAGCCACCGTCTCTAACACAACACTCAATACTCAATAGTTTCCAGCTCCAACAGGCTCCCTGCCAAAGATGACCTTTAACATATCATTTCACTAAACAGCCACCGTCTCCAACGTGAAACCAGGATACTCAGTAGCCTCCGTCTCCAAGACAACACCCACATACTCAACAGCCCCTGGATCCACCACCACACCCAATGCTCAACATAATCCCCCCTAAGATAACCTTGACCATGTCATTCTACTAAACAGACTCCGTATCCAACGCATCATCCAGACACTTCACAGCCTCCGTCTCCAACACCACACCCCATACTCAACAGGCTCCCTGCCCGAGATGACCTTGAAGATGCACCTCTACTCAACAGCCTCCGTTCCCACTACAGTCAGATACTCAACAGCCTCCGTCTCCAACACAACACCTAGATACTCAACACCCTCCGTCTCCCACACGCCACCCAGATTGTCAACAGCCTCCGTCTCCAACGCCACACCCAATGCTCAACAGGCTCCCTCCCAAAGCTGAGCTTGAAAAAGTCCTTCGCCTCAACACTCTTCATCTCCAACACAACACCCAATATTCAATACTCAACAAACTCCACGTCCAACACGACACCCGCATACTCCACAGCCTCCGTCTCCAACGCCACACCGAATACTCAACAGGCTTCCTCCCCGAGATGAGTTTGAACATCTCCTTCTACTCATCAGCCCCAGAGCATCAGCCAAACAAGTCGGGTCTGCACCCTAACCCGTGCTTCGGTGTGGATCGTCTGCGCGCCTCGCCTTCGTCGTCGGCAGCGTCGTGGTTGTGGTGCGTTTTGCTCTGCTCGGGACTTGCTTCCCAGCTGCAATGACCACCTAGAACTAGGGGAGCAGCAGCGGGACAACCCAGGGCAACCGCAGGACAACGGCGAGGGCACTCACAAAAAAAACACAGAACAACCACAAAACAACGGCGTGGCCCCGTGGACCCACCGCGACGGCCACAGAGGGTGGAGCCAATCTGACCAGAGATGCGACTACATAGTGCAGGATCTGGCGCAGCTTCGCCTCACACGCACGCATGACTCGACTCGAAACCAGACTCGCAGGTAGGGGGGCCTCTCCATGTCACTTCGATCTCAACCTCAGTCCCCAATAGCTGCGAGGTCCTCGCGCTGTGAGGTCCGATCTCGCGGGATTATCGAGAAACTGATCCCTCCAAATCCGCCGACCACCACTTGCCGGGGGGCAAAAGGCACGTGAGACATTTGGACACATTTGGCTGTCACCTCCCCCTTGCCCCCTCCCCAAGGTCCAAAATCCCGTTCCGGGGGGGGGGGTGCACGAGCTCGTCAACGCATCCCCGGGTCACTGGAGGTTCCAAGAAGGCCCAAGACGTCCGAAAAGGGCCCAAACAGAGCACCGCGACAATCCAAGAGAGTGTCGAGGCGGCCCACGGTAATCCGCGACGGTCCTATGTGGTTTCAAGACGGCCCACGAGGCCTCTAAGACGGACCAAGAGTGCTCCCAGAGGACCACCGAGAGGGCCCCGAAAGGCAAAACAACGCGTCATTCCCGAAGCGAAACGCACATTTTTTATATGCTATACTTTTTCGCCTTGACCGCGTCCAATGCGGCCGAAGAGGTCCCAAGAGTGTCCCATGACGGCCCACAAGGGCCCCCCAAACGGCCAAATACGGCGCACGAGGGCCCAAGAGAGCCTCAAGAGGGCCCCAGGGGCCCCCAAGAGAGTCCAAGAGCGACCCAAGAGTGGCAATACGAACTGACATCTCGAGTCTTTCCCCCCGTGATGGTCCCAAGGGCCCACCAATGACCCTCGAAGCGCCCTCCAAAAAGCTAACCAGATGCCCCCTAAGAGCCCTCCAGCAGGCCAATCATATGCATGCAAGAAACTCATCCTACCCCTAGTCGTTGTTATCCCTCCTCCTTCCGCCTTCCCACGCCCCCGTTCTTCCTCCTCCTTCTCCTCCTCCTCCTCCTCCTCCTCCTCCTCCTCTTCCTCCTTCTGTTTATTCGTTGACTCTTCATTTGTGCCTTCCGCGTCCTCCCTCCCCGCCCTCTGTTTGCTCGTGATGAGAGGGAGGGTTCGAGCAGACGCGGAGACTGCCTTCCCACGTTTGCAAGGGTGAGACAGCGTGCAGCATGCTCGACCTCACCTTCCCCATTGGTCCCTTTTCCCCTGGAGCCCCGAATCCTGTTCGAGAAAGGGGCGACGAGCTTGCCATCGCGCCTTCCAGGCCATCAGAACTTCCAAACATAGCCCGCACAGTTCCAAGAGCTCCAAGAAAGCCTACCAGACCCCAAGAGAATCGAGATACGAACCAATGTGTTCGAGCCCCGATGGTCCCAATTACTTCAGCGCCTGTACGAAACTCTCTCTGTTCTGGGGGTCGGCGGAATGGCGTAAGCCACTTGAATAATGTTACTCCAACCCAGGTCCCGTAGAGCCTGGCGTGATCACGCACGTCAAGGTTGTACGTGCCATCGGACCTTAGACGTAGCTCCCAAGCGATTTGATCGTAAGAGCCGTGGTCGTGCGTGGGATGCGGTCTTCACACAAGCGACGAAGACAAACAAATCTTACGCGAAGGACGCGGCGGACACGTCAACCTTACGTTGTGGATTACGCAAGCCGCTAGTGTGGCAAATCACGCGGAAGATAAGACACATACCCGCGACCCTACGCAACTATACTACGCGTGAGTGCCCGCGCACTCGAACCCGTTTGTCTCTACGCCACCCAACTGGAAGCAGTAGCGTACTCGGTATTGGCGGCCACCATCTCACTTGGGAACGTTGAGCTGTGGTATGCTGCGTCCTACTGCCTGGCTGTGCTTCTGTACTTTTCTCACCCCCCCCTCCAACCAGCGCGAAACTGCGTGCACACACATCTCCCGAGGTCTCCCGAGCGGTCTTCAAGGTCTGCAAAATGCCTAGTATGACTTCCAAAACGGCTGAATAAGGCAATTGCAAGCAAGGCCGCCGATATGCAACAATCGTGTCTGAAGAGAGCCTGGCCAAACAAAACATGCCCTACTAATAGACCAGGGGCGCCCAACAACACGTCACTGGCATCCTCAATGCCCTCCAGGAAGCCCCTGATTTTGCAAAATCGCTGAAATTCCCTGGTTTTGAACATGGGCTGCCTTCAAGCCGTTTTCGTACGAAGAGGTCGATCTATGCATCAATGTGCTCCCTAAGCACCTCCGAAGCGGCCCCAAGAGGCCCCAAGATGGCCCCGACAAGGTGCAAGGACTCACCTACCATACGTACACGACCCCTGACCGCCCCGAGGCAGCTCCAAGATGGCTTCAGGACGGCTAAAAGACGGCCCAGGACCAGCAAAAGGCAGCCCACGACGTCTCGACCTGCCTCCCTCCTCCTCCTCACCTCCTCCACCTCCTCCTCCTCCTCCTCCTCCTCCTCCTCCTCTTCCGCCCTGCATCCCCGTGCCGATGGTGCGCAAGGCTCCAGTTTGGGGGTGGTCGAGAGAGGACGCACGGGGCGCCTGCAAAGACACCGAATGGTCTCCGAAGAATACCTCCCCTGAGCCCTCTGGAATACGCCACTGGGGCGACACGGACAACCCGATTTTTTCAAAGGGGCTTCACCACTCGGAAGATCGCGCCGTATCGCCGATGCATCTGCACTCTTGGCGTGGAGAAAAAATCTGGCTCCATATCGAACCGCGTCGCCGGTACATCGGCGGTGCGGAGCGATCCTCTGGCCTCGTTTACTCGGGCCCCATCTGGGAGGCCTGGGCGTCCGCCGGTTTACCAGGACAGAGACGCGTTCTTGACAAAGAGCGGCGGCCTGCTCCAGGGGTTATTCGACCCTTGCGGCGACCTCAGGGTCAATTTGGGCTCGGGTTCGGTCTTTGCCATGCGCCGTCCTCGGCGGCTCGCGAGGGCTGGCGCTTGTGTTCCCCACTGGTTTGGCCCGCGGCAGCGCCCGCGCCCATCGTATAGCCGCCACACCTCTCCCAGCATGCCAGACGGTGCGGTGGGGCATGTGCAATGTGAGCTCCATCGAAAGGTGCAGAGGTTGGGCTTTCAAAGGGGGCCATCTCTCCCTTCTACCTTTGCTCCACGCCTGGGCGCTGCGTTGTATAATCAAAGCGTATTGCACGCTGCCGCGTGTGTAATGCGAGTGATGAGGTCTGCCCAGATGGTCCATAGTCGGTCATTCTGCCGTTGCAATCACCGCCTCCCCCCTGTACGGCACGAGCTTGCTGAGTTCGCAAGCCCAGCGGGAAGCAAGAAGTGGGATCAGCCGAATTACCCCCACTCCAGGGTTTCCCAGAAAAGCATCAGGGATTTTCCTGTTTTCCCAATCTGGTTTGAGCCTGATAGATGTTTTCAACTGCAACCCTCCGTTACCACATTTCCCCAATTGGCACTATGTCTAAGCCGTGCTGTCATACTGCAGGCGAGGCCTAGTTAGTGAACTAAGTCAGCGGCGTTACATGGAAGTCCCTAGCGCACGTCCTCGCTTTGCCGAATGATTACCCTGACCTTCAATGTAAACCACGATGGAGGCTCACGTCCACCGTGGTCTCAAGGGGTGGTGACACCAGGAGACTGGCCGCCTTAAGGCAAGTTCGAGCAACACACCCGCACCAACACCCACACCAACACCCACACCCACACCCGCAGAACTTCGGCGAGACCACGACGAAGGCGGCGACCAGCGGCAGCGCGCCCTCCTCCTCCTCCTCCTCCTCCTCCTCTTCCTCCTCCTCCTCCTAATCCTCCTAATCCTCCTCCTCCTCCTCCTCCTCCTCCTCCTCCTTCCCCGTCTTTCCTCCTTTTTCCTCCTCCTCCTCCTTTTCCTCCTCATCTTCCTCCTCATCCTCATCCTGCACAGCCCGCCGCCTGTACTGGCAGCCCCGCAACGCTGGCTAGCTGGCGGGTTCCATCCTCGCTTCACGATCTAAGTAATTCGCCAAACTTCACGCTTCGAGCTGCACGAAGCGCAGAACGCGGGACTGCCTTATGCCTCTCTTGGGCGGAACCCCTGCAGAGGGGCATCTCCCTGGCCCAGAGCGCGACGAGCGAAGAGCGTGCCCATCTTCGCACCCATGCGTGAGACCTAGACCTCCAACGGCTTGGTTATTTGCTCAATGTGGGCCCCTGGGCCACTCGCCCACTTCCCTGGGGCAATCTCTTCGCCTCGAGCTGTTTTTGTTGGCGGCCCCAGGGGCCATGAGGCCCTGAAAACGACCACTAGACGCCGAAAACTGCGAACTGCTTCTAAAGCGATTTTCCCAGCCGCCAGTCAGGGAATCTATTTGGAAGATCGGGGGGGGGGGGCATCGCGGGGTCCCCGCAAATCTCTGGAGATCCCAGGATGCCACTGGAGGTCTCCAGACCCCAAACGGGCTCCAGAGCGCCTGAAAATGAACAAGCATCCATCCTCGAACTTGGCGGCGCGCACACAGGGGTATGGGCGAGGGGGGAAAGTTTCTTAGAAGGACGCGCTGGCCCTACATCTACAGAAAGCTTCTGAAGGACGCGCAGGCCCGCGCCTTCTAAGAAGCAGGGGTGCTTGTAAGAAGCCTCCCCCCTCCCCCTACCCCCTATCTGCGCGTGGCTGACGAACCTCGATCTTCGACCTGGAAGATCGGGGCCCCTGGGAGCTGGGCTCGTTGAAACTCTGCACAACGGCGGGCATCCAGCCGTACCGCGCAGAGTGGTACCGGCACCTCGTGCCCCGCTCGAGGAGGCTGCCGGCGCTGGCGCCGCTGCGCTCCTGCGTGCGACGGCAAGGGGGTGGCACCATCCTGTTGCGCCATTTCCTCATGGCCCTCCTCGTCCTCCTCCTTCTCCTCCTCCTCCTCTTCCTCCTCCTCCTCCTCCTCCTGCTCCTCCTCGTCCTCCTCCTCTTCCTCCTCCTCCCTCCTGCTCCTCCTTTTCCTCCTCCTCCTCCTCCTCCTCCTCCTCCTCCTCCTGCTCCCCTCTTCTCTTCACGTCACCCTCCTCCTCCTTTCCTGGCCCTCCCCTCCTCCTCCCTCCTCCTCCTCCTCCTCCTCCTCCTCTCCTCCTCCTCCTCCTCCCCCTCCCCTCCCCCTCCCCCTCCCCCTCCCCCTCCTCTCTGTTTACTTTGGTGTTTCCTTTCCACCTCCCCTCCTCCTCCTCCTCCTCCTCCTCCTCCTCCTCCTCCTCCTCCTCCTCCTCCTGGACAATGCGCCCAGTCTTGAGAAGCCCCCAGGATTCCCCAAGAGGCCCCTAAAAAGGCCCCAAGAGACCCCGAAGGCCCCCACGAGGCCCCAAGCGGCCAGAAAACGAATAATATTCTGCTATTGGAATCTCAAAGGATCTGAAACCCTCCGTTCTACGCAGGCATGGCGGCTCTGCGAGGCAACGAGAAATGTTACGATCTGACGGCCAACGAGATCCAACAAAAAAATCAATGGCAATGTCAATAAAATGTCTGCCTTCGGGCAGTCGGGCAGACTGCCGTGAATCCACTGTTTTCAGCGTCTTCACTCAAGGTCCTCCGACCGCGGTCGTCGTCGACCTTCGCGCGACGACGATCTCATAAATCATCTCACTTCTTCAGAGGGGTGCTGAACGGTAAATTCTTACTCCTGACAGCAGTTTCAGCCGCCCCCACCGCTCCACTCCACCGCTCCACGGTGGAAGAGATGGTGAGGACCCGCCCCCACCGCTCCACCACTCCACCGCTCCACCGCTCCGCTCCCCCCACCGCTCCACCCCGCCGCTCCACCTACTCCAGCACCGTGCCAGCCTCGAGGGCACGACTGCCCCTCGCAGGCGGGTCGCTAGGGCTGGCCGATGGCACTGGCAGGGCCGATCCTCTGGATCAGCACGGCGGGCAGCAGGGCCAAACAGGCCCTGTGACGCACCCCAGGGCGCGCGCCGCGCTCAGACAGCCTGCGGCGACGACTCAAACCTCCAAAAGGGGAAGCCAGACACGCAGCGCAAGCGGCTGGCGGTTCCTCTCAACTCACCTTCTTCTCATCTTGCTTCGCGTCATCGTCGCGGCGTCTGAGCGCTGCTGCCCCTTCCGTGGGCTATCTTCACATCATCTTCTCGGCCTCTGGGAGGGTCGATGCCCCCCCTGAGCTCATATCGCGCGGAGCGCTCCGTTCGCCGCCCCCGCGCCCCTCGGACCCAACTGGAGCAGACAGGAGAGCACTTGGTTTCCACGGCTCGCGACCGTCCAGTTCGGAGAGACGACCACCATGTGGAAAAGAGCGAATAACACCTTCGCATGGGCGGCTCCTCTCCTGTCGGTGGCCCACTTCTCCCCCGCTTCCGCACGCGCCTCCGATGACGGGAAGCATTCGGCCAGGCGCGGGGCCTCGCCCCAGCATGATCGCTAGGCTGCGAGTCCAGAATGAAGCCGGGCAGTGCCACTCGGCGCCCTGCTCCTGCGTAGCGGAGGATAGTCTCCACCGCGTCGTGGGTCTGCTTCCCGTTCAGCGGGGCCGACGCCTCTGCGTCGCTCCCAACCGGACTGCTTACCTTGTTGTTCGCGATCAGAGACGGCAGCAGTAAGCCTTCTGGCTCTGCTCGGTCGCGGACCTCCTTCGGTCGGAAGCCCGCGCCTCCGCGCCCCCCTCGAGCGAGCCCGGCCGGCGGGCGCGGGCCCTGGCGCGGCTTGCGCCTCGAGCCACTTCCACGGACTCGGCTATTGGCGCGCGCTGGATCGTCGAACAATATCTTCGATCCGCGCGGCCATCCAACTCCTCCAGTTGAGGAAGGCGGCGCGGAGCCCAGTGCGCGGCCGCTCGGATTTCCGCTCTTGCTGGCCATCCCCGGTTTCCAGCCTAACACGCTGCAGTCGCGCGGCTCGCCCTCCCCCCCTTCGACCATCGTCTCTTCCGTCGTCGCTTTCAGGCGGCTGCACTTGCACTCCGCGCCTGGGCGCGGGCCCGGGTCGGCCTGGGTCGGCCCGAACGATCCCAGATATTTCATCGTGCCTGGCGGGGTCCTCTTCGCGTCCGCAACTTGGACTGGGCGCAGCGCGTTCCGACGCGTGACCCCCCGCGCGCGGAGCGCGTTACCGCGCCGGCGGGGCCCCGCGCGATCTGCCGCCGCCCACCGAGCGCCTGCGTAAGACACGTAATTCGCCTCGGTCAACATGTCCTCGCAGTAATCGTCGCCCTCGTTCCAAGCCTCCACCATCAGATGATAGAGTGGTCTCGCTCCGCCCCGCGCAGTCTGTTCTGGGCGCATCCACCGCAAGGCGAAGGTGCCCCTCTCGCCGCGTGCTCTCCGGCACGCAGGGTCACATCGGCCCTGGGAGAAATTGATCATCTCCTGGTTGACTGTCTGACCTTGCCGCGCCGCCAGGCTTCTTGTCCGGGATGAGACTGGGCCGTTCGATCCTTTCCAACGGTCCTTCGGCGGGGGCGCACGGCATGAACGCCCCAGTGCAAGCATGCAGCCTCCGCCGTTTGGAACGACGGCCCAGCGCAGGGGTTCTTCAGTCTGCAGATGCAGTCCTCGGCCCTCTCCCCCCCCCGATCCGTCGGCGCGCCGATCGCTGCGCGCGAGTCGCCGTCGGAGGCAGGGCGGCCCTCCCCGACGATCCTCGATCGCAAGCATCTCGGGCCGGGGCTTCCGGGGCGGCGTCGCGCAAAGACGGCGGCCACAGGCCGTCGCCTCCTCGGCGTTCTTGGTCAGCGGCTGGGAGGTCGCCCGACGCTGTCCCTCTCGGTGGGACTTCGCCATCGAGATCGCGCGACGCACGGAAGCTCGACCCTTCCCGCGTAGTCGCTAATCTCCCGCGCCAGATCCAGCCCGAAACTGACCCCAGTCCCGTGCTATATATATATATATATATATATATATATATATATATATATATATACACATAGATAGACGACGCGTGGCGGCGCTTGCCAGCCGACGCCTCGCCCCCCGCGCACTCGCTCCTGATCTTGCGCGCGACGGCTTCTCCCGAACGCGCGGCCCTCGCTGGCCCTCGCGCGCGCCATGCCGCAATCTGGGGACGTCCTTGGAGGGCCGCCCCCAGGTCGATCGCGGCCGTTCACCCCCCCTCGGGCGGGACCTCTCCTCTGCGCCGGCACGGCAATGCAATCCGAGGTGGATGATCGCAGTCGGCCCTGGGCAAGTAAGCCATGGAATCAACTTGACGCGGTCGCCCTGGCGCGCCATGTCCACGCCCCCCTCCCCCTTGGGTTCAACTGGCCTTCCGGCGCTGTCGCGGCAAGGTATATCTGGTGACTGGCCCCTTCCATCACTGACTCCAATCGCGCGCTGAATCTGGCGATCCCGACCCAGATCTCGGAGCCGCCTTCTTCCTGCGGGAGCGGGTAGCGCACTGCCGCGGGGCACGGCGTCTCGACCGCCCTCCTCGTAGTCGGGAGTGGGATTGTCGGCTCCACTCTTGGAGACGTCGTTGCCAACCGCAGCGCCGATCGATTCTTCCAGTCATCATATGGGTTTTCTTCCTTCGCGCGTCGAAGGCGTTCTGCGCTTCCCGTCGGGCCTCGTCGCCCCCGCCTCCGCGCCCGCCGCCTCTCCGCGCTCGATCGGCCCTCCCGAACTCGTTCCGTCTCGGGCGAACTGCTGGCAATAATGGACCATCTGATCCCATGCAGCCCTCGCCGTCGGAAGGGCCCCTCGGTCGCCGCTTCGACCGATGGCTGGAGAACGCCCCCATCGCGCTCAAATCGCCGTGGTCAAGGAGACCACGGCCACAACTGCGATCGCGATTCGAATCCAGCATTCGAGCGGGTCGCAGACCACGCCCAGCTCAAGCCAACCCTCGCGACTTGACGCTCGAAGCGCTGTCCGAGAGTCTCCGCGATGATTTGCGCGGACTCGCGAGAGATCCAGAATGCCCGCGCGGCCTCGCCCCCCGACCAGATCTGCAACGTCCAGGCCGATCGCGCCTACGCCGCGCATCCGGTCGATCGCGAGACGCAGTGGCAAGCGCGCCCGCGGCGGCCCCTCCCGGCCCGCCCAGTTCAGACAGGTGGGCCGTCGGGCTCGGGAACCCTGTCGCAGCCGGCGTCGGCGCCGCTGCTGCCAACTCGCCAGAGGTGCCACTCCTCGCGAGGGAGGCTTCTCGAAACCGCTGTGCGCTTTCATGCGCATAGTATCTTCTCCCCGGGACTTCCCCCGTCAAAAGATGCCCCAGCTTCTCGCGGGCTGCGCAGCTATCGACGGCGGCGAGGCCGCGCCTTGGAACTCTGACGTTTTAGAGCAAGCCACCTTCTCGAGCCCCATGCCCGCAGGTTCGAGACTTCCTAGCTGGCCAAAGCTGCCCAGCGCTTTGCGACCATGATCCGCGACGAAGGCCGCGCCCCCTCGGATCTCGTCGCCCCTGAGCAGCTCGAGAAAATGCCCGACCCAATCGAGCACGCGGGGCCCGCGCCCGCTATCGTCGCTCATCGCCACCACGCATATCGCGAGGACGAGCGAAGATCCTGCGGGAGGACTCGAACTGCTCGGCATGGTCGCTCGAGCTGGCACCTCGGCTGGTGATCAGGCCCAGAACTCTCGCCTGAACGCCCGTCCCCAGCAAACTCAAGAAGCCGGCTTGGTCGCTCGGCAAGCCGTTGATTACTGCTTTAGTTCGTAGTCTTCATCATCGGTCCATCTCCTGATGACTTCCATCGCATAACCTTCGAGCGCTTTCTCTTCTCGGCTCAGCTGGACGCCCATCGCGACTGCTGCCGCCCACCACGTGGACGCCGATCGGCACCCTTCTCTCAGGTCGGGAAGGTACCCCGTGAACGTCGCCAAGAGCGC